TGTTGGCAGACTAGATGTTGACGGACTAGATGTTGGCAGACTAGATGTTTGCGGATTAGATGTTGGCGGACTAGATGTTGACGGACTAGATGTTGGCAGACTCGAGGTTTGCAGATTAGATGTTTGCGGACTAGATATTGGCAGACTAGATGTTGGCAGACTAGATGTTGGCAGACTAGATTTTTGCGGATTAGATGTTTGCAGGCTAGATGTTGGCAGACTAGATGTTTGCGGACTAGATGTTGGAAGACTAGATGTTTGCGGATTAGATGTTGGCAGACTAGATGTTTGCGGATTAGATGTTGGCGGACTATATGTTTGCGGATTAGATGTTTGCGGACTAGATGTTTGCGGACTAGATGTTGACGGACTAGATGTTGGCTGACTAGATGTTTGCGGATTAGATCTTTGCGGACTAGATGTTTGCGGACTAGATGTTACGGACTAGATGTTGGCGGACTAGATGTTGCGGACTAGATGTTGGCGGACTAGATGTTGGCGGACTAGATGTTGACGGACTAGATGTTGACGGACTAGATATTGGCGGACTAGATGTTGGCGGACTAGATGTTGGCAGACTAGATGTTTGCGGACTAGATGTTGACAGACTAGATGTTTGCGGACTAGATGTTTGCGGACTAGATGTTTGCGGACTAGATGTTGACGGACTAGATGTTTGCAGACTAGATGTTTGCGGACTAGATGTTTACGGACTAGATGTTTGCGGACTAGATGTTGACGGACTAGATGTTTGCGGACTAGATGTTTGCAGACTAGATGTTGACGGACTAGATGTTGGCAGACTAGATGTTGACGGACTAGATGTTGGCAGACTAGATGTTTGCGGATTAGATGTTGGCGGACTAGATGTTGACGGACTAGATGTTGGCAGACTAGATGTTTGCGGATTAGATGTTTGCGGACTAGATATTGGCAGACTAGATGTTGGCGGACTAGATGTTGGCAGACTAGATTTTTTTGCGGATTAGATGTTTGCAGGCTAGATGTTGGCAGACTAGATGTTTGCGGACTAGATGTTGGCAGACTAGATGTTTGCGGATTAGATGTTGGCAGACTAGATGTTTGCGGATTAGATGTTTGCGGACTAGATGTTGACGGACTAGATGTTGGCTGACTAGATGTTTGCGGATTAGATGTTTGCGGACTAGATGTTTGCGGACTAGATGTTACGGACTAGATGTTGGCGGACTAGATGTTGCGGACTAGATGTTGGCGGACTAGATGTTGGCGGACTAGATGTTGACGGACTAGATGTTGACGGACTAGATATTGGCAGACTAGATGTTGGCGGACTAGATGTTGGCAGACTAGATGTTTGCGGACTAGATGTTGACAGACTAGATGTTTGCGGACTAGATGTTTGCGGACTAGATGTTTGCGGACTAGATGTTTGCGGACTAGATGTTGACGGACTAGATGTTTGCGGACTAGATGTTTGCGGACTAGATGTTTACGGACTAGATGTTTGCGGACTAGATGTTGACGGACTAGATGTTTGCGGACTAGATGTTTGCAGACTAGATGTTGACGGACTAGATGTTGGCAGACTAGATGTTGACGGACTAGATGTTGGCAGACTAGATGTTTGCGGATTAGATGTTGGCGGACTAGATGTTGACGGACTAGATGTTGGCAGACTAGATGTTTGCGGATTAGATGTTTGCGGACTAGATATTGGCAGACTAGATGTTGGCGGACTAGATGTTGGCAGACTAGATTTTTTTGCGGATTAGATGTTTGCAGGCTAGATGTTGGCAGACTAGATGTTTGTGGACTAGATGTTGGCAGACTAGATGTTTGCGGATTAGATGTTGGCAGACTAGATGTTTGCGGATTAGATGTTTGCGGACTAGATGTTTGCGGACTAGATGTTGACGGACTAGATGTTGGCAGACTAGATGTTTGCGGATTAGATGTTTGCGGACTAGATGTTTGCGGACTAGATGTTGACGGACTAGATGTTGGCGGACTAGATGTTGCGGACTAGATGTTGGCGGACTAGATGTTGGCGGACTAGATGTTGACGGACTAGATGTTGACGGACTAGATATTGGCGGACTAGATGTTGGCAGACTAGATGTTTGCGGACTAGATGTTGACAGACTAGATGTTGGCGGACTAGATGTTTGCGGACTAGATGTTTGCGGACTAGATGTTTGCGGACTAGATGTTGACGGACTAGATGTTTGCGGACTAGATGTTTGCGGACTAGATGTTTGCGGACTAGATGTTGACGGACTAGATGTTGGCAGACTAGATGTTGACGGACTAGATGTTGGCAGACTAGATGTTTGCGGATTAGATGTTGGCGGACTAGATGTTGATGGACTAGATGTTGGCAGACTAGATGTTTGCGGATTAGATGTTTGCGGACTAGATATTGGCAGACTAGATTTTGGCGGACTAGATGTTGGCAGACTAGATTTTTCCGGATTAGATGTTTGCAGGCTAGATGTTGGCAAACTAGATGTTTGCGGACTAGATGTTGGCAGACTAAATGTTTGCGGATTAGATGTTGGCAGACTAGATGTTTGCGGATTAGATGTTGGCGGACTAGATTTTTGCGGATTAGATGTTTGCGGACTAGATGTTTGCGTAATAGATGTTGACGGACTAGATGTTGGCAGACTAGATGTTTGCGGATTAGATGTTTGCGGACTAGATGTTGACGGACTAGATGTTGGCGGACTAGATGTTGCGGACTAGATGTTGGCGGACTAGATGTTGGCGGACTAGATGTTGACGGACTAGATGTTGGCGGACTAGATGTTGCGGACTAGATGTTGGCGGACTAGATGTTGGCGGACTAGATGTTGGCGGACTAGATGTTGGCGGACTAGATGTTGGCGGACTAGATGTTGGCAGACTAGATGTTTTCGGATTAGATGTTTGCGGACTAGATGTTTTCGGATTAGATGTTTGCGGACTAGATGTTTGCGGACTAGATGTTGACGGACTAGATGTTGGCAGACTAGATGTTTGCGGATTAGATGTTTGCAGGCTAGATGTTGGCAAACTAGATGTTTGCTGACTAGATGTTTGCGGACTAGATGTTGACGGACTAGATGTTGCGGACTAGATGTTGGCGGACTAGATGTTGGCGGACTAGATGTTGACGGACTAGATGTTGACGGACTAGATATTGGCAGACTAGATGTTTGCGGACTAGATGTTGGCAGACTAGATGTTGGCAGACTAGATGTTGGCAGACTAGATGTTGGCAGACTAGATGTTTTCGGATTAGATGTTTGCGGACTAGATGTTTGCGGATTAGATGTTTGCGGACTAGATGTTTGCGGACTAGATGTTGACGGACTAGATGTTGGCAGACTAGATGTTTGCGGATTAGATGTTTGCAGGCTAGATGTTGGCAAACTAGATGTTTGCTGACTAGATGTTTGCGGACTAGATGTTGACGGACTAGATGTTGCGGACTAGATGTTGGCGGACTAGATGTTGGCGGACTAGATGTTGACGGACTAGATGTTGACGGACTAGATATTGGCAGACTAGATGTTTGCGGACTAGATGTTGGCAGACTAGATGTTTTCGGATTAGATGTTTGCGGACTAGATGTTGACGGACTAGATGTTGACGGACTAGATGTTGGCAGACTAGATGTTTGCGGATTAGATGTTTGCAGGCTAGATGTTGGCAGAATAGATGTTTGCGGACTAGATGTTGACGGACTAGATGTTGGCGGACTAGATGTTTGCGGATTAGATGTTTGCGGACTAGATGTTTGCGGACTAGATGTTGACGGACTAGATGTTGGCAGACTAGATGTTTGCGGATTAGATGTTTGCAGGCTAGATGTTGGCAGACTAGATGTTTGCGGACTAGATGTTTGCGGACTAGATGTTGACGGACTAGATGTTGGCGGACTAGATGTTGCAGACTAGATGTTGACGGACTAGATGTTGACGGACTAGATGTTGGCAGACTAGATGTTGGCGGGCTAGATGTTGACGGACTAGATGTTGGCGGACTAGATGTTTGCGGACTAGATATTGACAGACTAGATGTTGGCGGACTAGATGTTGGCGGACTAGATGTTGCGGACTAGATGTTGACGGACTAGATGTTGACGGACTAGATGTTGGCAGACTAGATGTTGGCGGGCTAGATGTTGACGGACTAGATGTTGGCGGACTAGATGTTTGCGGACTAGATATTGGCAGACTAGATGTTGGCGGACTAGATGTTGGCGGACTAGATGTTGACGGACTAGATGTTGACGGACTAGATATTGGCAGACTAGATGTTGGCGGAATAGATGTTGGCAGACTAGATGTTTTCGGATTAGATGTTTGCGGACTAGATGTTTGCGGACTAGATGTTGGCGGACTAGATGTTGGCAGACTAGATGTTTTCGGATTGGATGTTTGCGGATTAGATGTTTGCGGACTAGATGTTGACGGACTAGATGTTTGCGGATTAGATGTTTGCGGACTAGATGTTGGCAGACTAGATGTTTGCGGATTAGATGTTTGCGGACTAGATGTTTGCGGACTAGATGTTGACGGACTAGATGTTGGCAGACTAGATGTTTTCGGATTGGATGTTTGCGGATTAGATGTTTGCGGACTAGATGTTTGCGGACTAGATGTTGACGGACTAGATGTTGGCAGACTAGATGTTTGCGGATTAGATGTTTGCAGGCTAGATGTTGGCAGACTAGATGTTTGCGGACTAGATGTTTGCGGACTAGATGTTGACGGACTAGATGTTGGCGGACTAGATGTTGCGGACTAGATGTTGACGGACTAGATGTTGACGGACTAGATATTGGCAGACTAGATGTTGGCGGGCTAGATGTTGGCAGACTAGATGTTGGCAGACTAGATGTTTCTGTAATTCCTAATTCTTTGCATTTTGTTCTCCTATTCCTTCCCGCAGGCTGCTCTTCCTGGAGGTGATGGTGTTGTGGGAAAAATGGTCACTCATGGTTTTTGCTTCTATTTCTGTGTTTTCTACAGGAAGGGAAGAACTGGAAATATCACCCTACGATGACTCAGTGCTCGACACCCGAATGGCTTCTTTAGTCTCTGGTAAGATGCCACAATTTCCCCATTCTAGGACAATAAAGGGATTCTCTATTCTATTCTATTCTGTTCTATTCTATTCTACTCTATTCTATACAAAGTTTCCAAATATAAAGGAGCAATCTTCATTTGAAGCTACCAGAATGTGAAGTACAGTATAAAATGGGCATGCTAAGTAGCTGTGCCATAGAATAGGAGGTTTTTAATGATTTATCGACCAGTCAGTTTCCCTCTCCATCCTTTCTTGTTCAACTTTGAGGAACTAATTACTAACTCTGTTTCCTGAATTAGTCATACACGCTATCTGTGCTGTCTAATTGGTTTCTGTCTACCTTCTCTGTTTAAACATGATATTACTTCCTCTTAGTTAAACCCTCATCACACAAACACTTGGTCATCAGTACACATTGGACTAAACATGGCAATGTGGATAATAAAACAGAAGAAAAGCCTCTGAAGAGAATAGGAAATTGTTTGGGAACAGCCTGGTTCACACATGTTGTTCTATTTTCTCTATCAAACACTCTTTGCTGATGCTCAATCTGGATGATTATTTGCCTACAAGTGTCACTGTGTTTTGCCTTAAGGGATATGCTTGAGTTTACTGGTTTCAAAGTGTTTCCAGTTCCAGACCCTCAGACGCAACTAACTAATTCACAGTAGAAAAACTTTTACTGGTTAACTTGTTTCTGCTTAATGAATAGCTGTCCCACTAAGGGGGAGACAAGCCTGTCTGAGCCGAGGACACTTTGAATACCTGCATGTTCCAGAAACATGATCATCAGAGGGCTAAGCAGAAAATGTGGGAGCAGTGAAGGAACCAGTTCACTCCAAATGACTGTATTGTAAACAGGAAGTATGAGTTAATTTAAACTTAATGTGAGGCATCTCCTCTGTTTTTCTCTGGGCGCTTTTTACATGTTAAACTTATAGGACTCCCATACTTTGGTGTCCTTGGACCAGTGGACCGGTGGTCTGTCATCTCAGCACGCCACGTCAGACCATCATACCCATAGTAACATGCACGCATGTGTATTACTGCACAACATTACCACTGCATGGAAGAGCTGTCAGATCACCTTACCCTTAAAAAAAACACCAAAAGCAGTAATTAAATTGTTATTTTGTACATAACAAAAGCGATCCACGCCTATTGAAGGAGTTTAAAGCATATTTAGCGAAGTGTCTAGCTGCACCAGCAGCCATCTAAAAAACCCATACAAAACACCCCCCCCCCCCTTCTCTTCTTCTAAGAAAAAATTCTAAGCTGCATTGCTGGACATGAGAGAATAAAAATAAAAATAAAATCACATCTGCAAATCAATTCAATTCAGTTTATTTCACAACACGTCATCTCAAGGCACTTTCCAGTTTACCAGATTATCCAGTCAGATTGATTCAAAGTTTTCTATCTAAGGAAAACCAGCTGATTGCATCGACTCATTGACTCTTCAGCAATCCCTCAGACATGCTTGTAGCGACAGTGGAGAGGAAAAATGGCCATCTGCTGACGCCCACTGGGGTTCAAGGAGACAGAAGCAGACATAGAAAAAGAGGATAGATTCAAAAGGCAACTGTCAACCAGCTCCAAAGGCGGCCCCATCCAGGAAACACACAGCCAGGCAGACGAGCTCCGAGCCAGCTCCCATGTCAGAGGATGAAGAGAGCACATCCAGTTAGTCACAGTCAGAGAAACAGGACTACACTGGAAAACAGGCCAAGCTCCAACATCTAGAAACAAAGGTGTTGATGGCAGCAGCACAGCTGATATTTCTGCATTCTGATGGCCGTCTACTTCCACATCCAGTTGGGGATGGAAGGAGACACAGCCTGTTGCTTCTTTGTGAAAACTGCTGTATCTGCTGCATATCCTCTAATATGGAATAACTATATCCATGTTTTCCCTTTTTATTCTGTTCTCTTCCCTTCGCCCCTCCAGCCACATCCTTCATGCAGCTGGATGATGAAAACCAGTGCCTGAAAGCAGCGCAGGACTGTGGCCTGTATGAGAAGTGCGGCGCTCTTCGATCAGAGTACGTGTTGGCCTGCACAAAGCCCATACCCGGAACGAGCCGATGCAGCCAGTACAAGTGCCACCGGGCCCTGAGACGCTTCCTGGAGCGGGTACCTGAGGAGTACAGCCTGGGGGTCCTGTTCTGTCCCTGCACCAACACCCTGTGTGGGGAGAGAAGGAGGAAAACCATCGTGCCCTCCTGCTCCTACCAAGATGCTGAGGGCCTGCAGCCCAACTGCCTCCACCAGCAGAGCTTCTGTCGCAGAGATGACCTGTGCAGGTGACAGATCTGGTTCACTGTGGTTATTATATCCATTACAATCTGTGGGTCCCAACAAAAAAGAAACTCTTTATGTTTTAAGATTCTGTAAAATGAATCATTAAATGAAGATGGTTTTTCCTTTTATTTCTATGTTTCAAAAACGGAGCAGAAAGCATCAACCTTAGATGGAAGAGATTAGAAATGAAAGCACACTAAAGAGGGAGAAGAACACAATGAAAGGGGGGAGAAGCTCAATGCTTTGTAATAAACAGAATCGCACCCAGAAAATCCTCTGATGTCTAGTTATTCATTATTTTACATTCGACGCCAGACTTTTGGACAAATCTTCTTTTTCAGACATCTGAAAACAACAGTTTTCCAAGTTTGTTTCTCTTCCAATCCAGGAAGCTTTTTCAGTTCTAAATTTCTGGATTAGCGTTGAGTTCCCGGCTTTATAGGGTAGCCCAACAAAAGCCTTGGTAGTAATAGTTTCGAAAACATGCAGATTGAAACTGGAAAACCATCTCCACCCCTTAATAATCGGGGTCACTGAGGTCGTTATTGGCCTGCAATACCCGATACTGGCCCATTCCTCTGGAAGGCATAAGGCAGGCATTAAGGGTCATTGTTGGCCAGGCTGACCTAGCGAGATGTTCCCCTGCATAGCGATAGGGGTCGCCATGAATTAACTCTATTGCTGCACTGTAGGTTTTTGAAACTGAAATCTGAGACCCCCCCACACCCCCACCCCCACCCCCCTCTGTTTAAGGTTCTTTATTCTTTCTTAACATAGATGGCTTCCTTCACGCCGCTCTCAAACCACCTGTCTTCTCTGTCCAAAATATTCTGGTCCTCCAAAGAATGTACTTTGTCCATAAGGTGTAGATGTACTGTAGAGTCTTGTCCAGAGGAGGGCGCTCTTCTGTGTTGGGCCATGCGTCTGTGGAGAGGTTGTTTGGTTTCTCCAATATAAAGATCAGAGCATTCCTCACTGCACTGAGCAGCAGACAAAGATTTTGTTTGGGGGTTTGGTCCTTAGGATGCACTAGTCTCTGTTTAAGGGTCTGTTTGGTTTGAAATGTACTGGGATTTAGTGTTTGGAGAAAATCCTCTAGAAAAAGCTTCCAGGATGGGAGGCTAAATGTCTTCAAACTTGGAAATAAAGTCCAGCAGATTTTTTTTTTTTTACTTTAATGACTATGACCTGGATGACTGAGAAACTCCACCAGCGTCTCGAGCGAGTGTTTTGGCGGAGTATAGACTGTTATTTCTCAAAAGGACAACAAGACATTGATGAGAAAAATGGTCCAATGTGGTGCAGATCAGACCTGCCATACTCATATTAAAGCAGTTTCAGGCAGTAGCTGAAGCATCTGACAGTCAGTAAGAAAAGAGGGCGAGTTATTGAACACTACTGCCACCTACTGGTTTGTGACGTCACGGTGCGGTATCGGCTGTTGATCAAGTCCAAGTGCTGTATCTGGTGTTTGTCACAACGCGCTATTATCCAAGTCACCTTGAAAACATTCTTCTTCCAAATGTTGGCTACATATTACGGGTTTTTTCTCTGGCCAGAAGTTCAATGGCAAATCCTCCCTCTTCAAGTTGGCAATCCAACGACCAACCCGTCCGTGGAGGATCAGGAACCAGAAAGGTGGAATAATCCTTTTTCCCCCACTTTTACCCGATGTATTCCAGCATCCAGCTGCCATGCACGTGGGCATTGTCAGTTTCACTATAGCTCTGGTGAATTTCAATGGTGAAGTCCTCTGGAAATCTTCAATAATTGTTGTTGATTGCAGATGTGTCTAGTAGTTCCCATTGATTTTGCTTGTAAAGCGGGGAGAATGGCGCTAGGCTTACCGCACCGTGACCTCACTGCCTGAATATGGCAGGAGGGAGGGGCTACTATATTTGGGCAAAAATGGCCGCTCCCAGTCTCAGTGATCACGACGAAAATTATATTTTTTTTTTGTGGTTGAATGTCTGACTTGAATGTCTGGCTTTTTTCATCCAGAGGACGATGATCTGTCCTCCAAAATACACATTAGGTCCTGATTCTGGGTACTGGACAGATGGAGGCTTCACTGGAAGTGATGGTCATCCAGTCGCAGCTCATGATAGTACTGGCCAAACTAGCATTAAATCTGGTGGAGGGCCGTGACACGCTGAGTAAGATGAAGGTCCACCATTTTGAGTTGAACAAACGAATGGAACCAGCGAATAGATGCACTCCTCCTAGCTGGGGGATGTTTTACTGTGTTTTTCATCTGAGTGGTATGAGAGAGAGAAGTGAAATGTCCACCCATCAACGGCGAACAACGTGGAACATTTGCCTCATTTGCATTGCGTGTGATGCACCATACGCTGCCTTGGGGAACGTTACTCTGATGGCATTAGTTAAGCAGGGCATTAACTGTACGATATTTTCAATCAACACATGCAGCTACAGCTCAAACTGTACGACGAAGCCGCAGGGTTTAAACCTTCACAGCTCACGATGTTTGGTCGGTCTCACACTGTGCGACCAGACACTCTGAGGAAGAACTATTCCCTTGTTTTGTGCATGCCCAGTGCTCAAGGTTCTGGTAAATCTTTTCATAGCTCTGCTTCAACAGCAAGATTTGCCCACCACCACCCCTCGACAGCCGACTGAACATGTTTTTTCTCCCAACCTTACTACCTTACGCGAGGTAGTTTTGAGAGGCTAATTGCCCCTAATTACCCCCTGTATACTACATGAAAAATTCTTGCAGGACTGGAGAATCGGCCTGAAAAGGTCAAAAAACTGTATAGTGTATGCCCAGCTTTAGAGAGCTGACTTGGTGAATCTACTCCGCCATGGCAACCAAATGCTGCAGATTAAACCGAAAGAGTACAGACTCTGTAGACGCCGGACTCATGCAGTGGTGGTTGTTCCCAGATCTGTCCTCGGTCTGATATGCTGTCCTTGTAGTTTCACTTTCTGTAGGATGCTTCTGCACCTGCCTGTTAAGAACCCCGATCTGCATCTCAGTGCTGGCTGGTCAGAAGGTATCCAGACCTGGACCAGAAACACCTTCTGGGTCAATCATAGATTAGTGACTGAATTCTGAGATGAGAAAAGGAGTCTCAGGACTTTTCATCAACTGAAGAACATTTTCAGTGATTTTCATGTGAAAGTTTCCTCTCGTAGATGGAACAGCGATTATTAAGTCACCTTCTATTTTTATTGCCCATCTATCTGTGAAGGTTTTTGAACATCAGCTCAACACCATATTTTGCTCCAGGCTGATGAGGGTAGGATTGTTTTTCCACTTTGCAAAGTGGGTTTAATGCATACCTGACATCAGAGTGGATTTCCCTTTGCCTGACATGAGGAAAGCGTCTGTAAACACCCAGTAATGAAAGGTTGCTCAGCGGTAGGACACAAACAAGAAAACTATAACTGGACAAATAAAAGCTTTGCTCTCTAACAGACCTAGAATTCCGTCACCCAGATTAGCTGCCGAGTTTTCCTCATCTGATGTGGAGCTGTTTGTGTTTCTGCCAGGTCCCGGCTGGCTGATTTCCTCAGTAACTGCCAACCATCTACTCTCACGGCCAGCGGATGTCTGAAGGACTCCACAGGCCTCTGCCTGCGGGCCTACGCTGGACTCATAGGTACCGACTCATCATTAGACCTCCGCATCACCACCAGGCAGCAGTTTTACCTGTTAATAGCTGCTTCCTTTATAACCGAACACCAGCAAAGGCAGAGGTCCAGGTTCAGTCCATTGATAGCATATTTCTTAGACCATCTTAGACTTAGAAAAATGTTATTGTCATCACGGAGTATACGCTGGCCCCCCATCTAGCTTTGCCCCTGGTTTTTGATGCTCAGAACACCTTTGGTTTGAATGCAGCATTAGATAATTCCTTTTCATTGCTTTTATCTTTTCCAAGATTAAAATCCCTCATATTTCAGTGCAGGTTGCTGGATGGGGATGTTTTTTATAATTATGTTGTTTGTTCTCTGTAATTATTGGCTGCATAGATGGTTCAGTTCAGTGTCACCCAGCAGGGCCTTTCCCTTAATGAAGTGCTTGTAACGCTGTTGTTAAGAGGCACCTGATGTGATGCAGGAATGCATGGTGAGCTGTTAGCAGGTTTGTTTTAACATCAGCTTCAACACATGCTAAGTTCATGGTGTGTGCGGTTGCATTGAATGTAATAAATATGATCTGAAGCTGCAGAGCAGAGCTTTGCACTGCCAGAGCTGCGATGGCAGCAAAATATCTTCTGACAGGTAGACTGATGTGGACAAATCTGGATTTAGGTTTGAAGCTGAAAAGAAACAAGACTACCCAGATTAGCTGCTAGCTCATTGCAACAAAATCAACTAGATTGATGCAGAAACAGGAAAGTAGATCAGTGCAGAGATAGAAGCAAAAGGGGACAGAAGAAGAGACAAAGAGGGAGGACAGGGGACCAACAGGGACAGATGGAGAGGAGCTGAGTTAGTGCTGGATCAGGTTCAGAGGCTTTTAGACCAGAACTACTCATTCCAGCTAAAGTCAACCCAGGGTTAAACACACACGTCTTGTTAGGCTCAGCAGATTTTCTGACCTGCAGGAACCATCATGACCCCCAACTACATCAGCAACAGCTCTGCTGACGTATCGCTGTGGTGCAACTGTGAGGGCAGCGGGAACCAGTGGCAGGAATGTCTGAAGCTGCAGCGCCTCTTCACCCACAACAGCTGCCTACGTGAGTCGCCTCCTCGCTTCCACTGCAGCGTATCACTCCACCCTTTCTGTCTCACATCACCACCAACAGCAAAAACAGCTTCAAATTAAATCAGCGCTTAATAACTGCTGTTTGTTTCTGCTCAGGTTCTCTTTTTGAAGGTTTTGGTGGGTGTGGTCAGAAAAGTTTGTTTCTCATATTTCATATCCTATATTAATTTATCCTATTTACTCACAATAAAAGTTTTCACTTAGCCTGTTTCACCTACAATTCCCCTGCATGAGGTTTTTGTAGACCAGACATACCTTCTTCCCATAACAAACCAGATTCGTTCTCAAGGTTTATTCATAACATGTTACTGTTAACCAAAGTGTCTGTAATTTGTTTTGACTCTGACTACTTTCCATTATTAAGGAGGAACGAGTGCTGCTCATGCAGAACAGGGCGGATTCCCTAAGCAATAAGGGCCGTATGATTAAATGTTCTCTCTTTGCAACGATAAAATAAGTGCCGACTGAGTGATATTTGTCTCGTTTATTTAACTGGAGTAAATAGTTGAATCCTTTTTTACCACTACAGTAAGTCAGAAAGGGGTTTTTAGGGGTAAATACCTTTTCCTAGATGTTTTTTCTGTATTTCCTCTCCTGAAATAGCAGAATTTATGTGATGGTTTTGTAGACGTTTCCAGCAGGGCTGCCAGTGATTTCCTCCATGTCTGTAAAGATCTGATTTACTTTAAGGCTCTTCTTAAGCTGCCTGGAAAACGTTTCCTAAAAACAGATTCAAATCCCTTTTAAATGTTTGTTACTCTCAGGCGGGTTTGAATCTAAAAAGCAAATCTTCTGTAGTGTGTCGCCGAGGCTGATGAGGGCTGTAAAAGCGTGACTATGTCTGCCTCAGAAAGAGCAAATGACGGCGCGGCAGTAGAGCACATCTGGATGGCCGCCTCCTGCAGCTGCTCTATGCTTTATTTGCAGTTTCATGCTCCAGTCTGTGCATCCGGAAGGTTCTCTGCACCAGCAGGAGCTCTGAGAGCGCAGCGACGGCTCCCAGTCCTCCACCTGTCAGTCAATCACAGCAGCTGTCGGATGGTTTATCGATACACGCCGGGTGTTTGTCCGAACACTAAAGCCTGGATCAATGCGTCAGGACAAACCCCCATAAAACTGATTTATCAACCTGACGATGGCCCCGACTATAAAGCTGCCAAATAGATATGTTGGTTCACACCCACTCAGATGCTGCATCCAGGGCCAGCCAAGAGTACACACTCACACACACGGGGGGGGGGGGTCACCATTAGGCAATACTAGGCAGTTGCCTAGGGCCCCACGTTACTTGGGGCCCCATAAAACTCTGTTTACATGTACGATTAATACAAATATTCCTTATTTGTTCACATTAATTATGTTTTTGATCAAAATCCTTTGGCTAAAATGCCATCAGAACGCTGATAATATTAAGTGTGTCTCAGCCCCCCCCCCCCTTCAGTGTCCACCATATTGGATCAGTCCATTTGCTGCACATGTTCAGAAAGGTCCAAACAGACAGCAGCAAACCATTTGAAAACAAACCATGCAAAGAGCAGTGTTGCTAACTTAGCGCTTTAGTCGCTATATTTAGCCACTTTTCAGACCCCTCTAGCACTTTGATTTCTAAAAAGCTCCTAGCGCCAAATCTAGAGACTTTTTTCTGCTACTGGAGACTTTGGAGACAACATCTAAAAGCAGCGAACTCTGCTCTCCAGAGCAAGTAGATTGGTAACCCCGCCTCCTGCTCTCCTCTATCTTGTCTGCTGTCATGATTCATGCAGCTATTATTTCATCCAAATGAAAAATGGAGAACAGAGAAGCAGATCATGGCTTGTCTACAGTGAAAAGAAGGACTGGGTTATTTACTTTGGCCTTTTTGGAAACACAGGAAGGCAATCAGCTAAGTGAGCTTAGTGCTTGGAAATAATCTTTCATTCCTTTAGAGACAGCATGAAAAGTCAGCTGAGTACAAAACATAGAGAGGAAAACAAGAAGAAAAGGGACAAGAAGAGAGGGACAGAACCTAGAACAGATAATGGATGTGTATTCTATTAACATTTCTCTATCTGTAGAATTGGGCTGTTTTATGTCTTCTCAGTTCAGAGGGCCCCCTGCCTGTCTTTGCCTAGGGCCCCACATTTCCTAAATCCGTCCCTTCACACACACGTTTGTTCTGATATATGTAGTAGTGAGGACCATGCATCGCTACACTGTCCTCAACCATCGACTCCATTTTGGAGGTCTGGGCTCCATCATCTACTCACAGGTTGCGTTTGTTTGCGCAGGTAATGCCATCAGCTGGATGGGGAGCCCCAGGTCGGTGCCCTCAGAGCCCACTCACCCTCCCTCCCCCAGACCCTCGCCTCTGGTTCAGAAGGACGAGATGCTGAGCAGGAACCGTGTGCCTGAGCTCAACAACGACGTGAGTAAACCATTTTCCTGTTTCAGATTTAACCTGACTCAGTGCCCGCCACTTCAGAACTCGACAGAACTTTCTTGTCATCAGTTCCTGGTTGCTTTTCAAGGAATATTTAGTTTCCTATTTCACTGGCAGACCACTGACCTAGAACCCAGACCCAGCCTCCTGGCACTGAGCGCTGTGGTGTTTCTAAGGTCTTCCTTCTAAGGTCGACCCTCAGATTTCTGATGACTTGTTATGACAATTGTTTTCTGTAAAAGGTAGAATGTTGTGCTGTACAGTAGTAGCCATTCAAAATCTCCCCACTTTCCTTGATGGGTCCTTGGCTGATCCTTGGCTGGTCCTTGGTTGGTCCCTTACAATTCCTTTTTAAACATCACTATTTGTACTAAAATATTCTTTCTTTCGTGATTTGTGGACATTAAAATCTAAAGAGAAGCATCACCTCCTGGTCAGACCCTGTAATTCAGTGATAGGGTGGAATCAGAGTAAAACAATATGCACGCCAAGGCAAAGGCCAGTGGCTAGGAGTTGGAGTGGATTTTGCTGGGAGTCGCAGGGGAGTGGCTGCCATTCGGCTGTCTTTTGACTGGGAATGGCCGTTTTGAATGGCTGCAACTGTAACAAAAAACAAAGTCATTTTCTCACCTGTCCACAATATGTTTTCAAGAAGGACTGAAGTTTAATTCAGTTCAGTTTGTCTAAAGAACCAATTCACCATGAAGGCATCACATCTTCCAGTCAGATTAAAGGTTAAAAGTTTCAAAGAAAATCAGCTGCTTGCATCTCGTCATTGGGCAGAATGAGGATGTAGAGACATTAGATATTCACTTGTATCGTGTCATTAACTCACACTGAGCCTGCAAACACTGACACTAAAGAGGAAAAACTCCCTTTGAACAGGAAAAAAACCTCCAGCAGAACCAGGCTCAGTGTGAGCGGCCATCTGCTGAGGCCGACTGGGGTTCAAGGAGACAGAAGCAGATATAGAAAAGAACATAGAAGCACTGATCAATTATCACTTCCTATGTTAGAAAAGCTAATGGTAAACTAGCTCCACTGGTTGCTGTCTGGGAATGAAAGTTAATCAGATGAACTCTCAGCCAGTTCTCATGTCAAAGGATAAAAGAGAGAACATCCAGTTAGTCATAGTGGAAACTGAGCCCATAGCCAGGAGAGAAACAGGATTACACTGGAAAAGAGGCCGATCTCCAACATCTAGAAACAAAGGTGTTGATGGCAGCAGCACAGCTGATATTTCTCTCCAGGATGGAGTCACAGCCAAACAGGAACAGACCAGATGAAGCTACTATGAGAAAAAGCAGAGAGAGCAGAACGTTAGAGATTGAACTAATAGATTCTGCAGAGTGGGAGATAGGAGATAGAATGAAGCAGAATGATGAAAAAGGGATCCCTATGTCCTCCAGCAGTCTAAGCCTATAGCAGCATACAGGTAACTATACACATACATTTCGGCAAACTCTAGTTTAGCTATTTTATGTATCTGTTTTCTGTGCGGTCCTCCTTGGTCTGCTTTCGTTTCTTCAGATTTTGAAGTTGATTTTAAAGTTTACAGTGACACCTGTGTCAACTTTAAAGATTTTTGAGACTTATTCACCATCCAGACTATCAAATGACACTTAGCCTCAGTTTGAATATTTTGTAATAATTTTGCAAACTGCTGACAAAGGAACACTGAGATCTCTGGAAATAGACCCGCTAAGAACTGTTGGTTCTTTTATCACAATCTGGTTTATTAATTCCTCCTGCAGTTCTGCTCTTTATTCTTAGTTTTTTAGGCACAAACACAAAACTAAGATTAACCCGACTTGCCACAGCTGAATTTATTAAGCATCATGTGCTTTAAATAAAGCCCGTTAGCCACAATATATAATATAATAAATGGTGCTGTGTATTTTGTCTATACTACAATTTTTTGAGTTTTGTATAAACTGATTTCAAATTAGTCCTTTTTGTTAAATATTTTTAATTTTTTGTCGTCCTAAAACACACTAATGGCATAAACAGGTCTATAGAAAACTATGTGTAAAAGCAGCAACTTTCTGGGAGAAACGTTGATGAAAATATGAAAGAGAATTTCCTCCAGGACTGTATACAGAATGAATGTCTCTCCATAGGGAGGAGGACATAGGGGACCCCTTTTTCATCATTCTGCTTCATTCTATCTCTATACTGATCTATTCACAGAATATTGCAATTTCCACTTAAAATGCTTGAAATGTGTAATGTTTAAAACAAAACACAATAACACAAAAAAAAAACTAACAAGATGAAAGAACAGTGAGATGAAAGGTGAGAATTATGGGTGAGCTATTAATAGCTAATTCGATAATGACGTACATGAGCGTTTAGGAACCGAGTTTGTTCCCATGATTTAGAGGTGATGAGCAGCCAGTTGATCCCATTCAAAGAAGAAGGTTAAACCACATCAGCCAGAGCAACGACTGGTTATTTTAGACCAGATCGTGGTCATTAGTTTGCTAAATCAGGAACTGATTTCAGTTCAGACATCAATTTAGGACAAGAAAAACGGAAAGGCTCCCAGGAGCTCCATCTGATCCAACAGAATTGCAGAGAATAAGATATCAAAGCTGTTAGAGAGACAGACCAAAGGCTTCAAGCATGTGTAAAAATGTGTGTCATGCTTCCAGATTAATATTTTTAGAGAATCATTCCGTTCCACTCTGCGGTTCGTTGTGGTTGTCTGAAAACCAGAGCACCAGAGGGCTGGAGTCCTGCAGCCTGTCAGGACTCCAGTGAAGTTCTACTGACTCCTGGTAATGACCCCATAAGACATACTGAGGCAACAGGAAACCACCTCCTCTGCTCTGTTTCAGAAACTATACAGCTGTCTGGCCATCTTGTTGGGGTCGGGAGTTAAAGGGTCTGTATTGAGTGAAAAAGATCCCTGTTTCTTATATGATGTGAGAAAAATGAGATCCCAGTAGAACCAGTACCAGGACAGAGGCAAGAGACAATCTCCCATTTTGGTTTATTCCTAAATGAAGTTAGAAGAATTCAGGTCATCCAGGTCATAGTCATTCCTAAAAAAAGTTCAGGAAGGTCAGTGTCTTTCTAGGAGACGAATAAGCTCATCAGACAGTGGGATGTAAATTCTTCTAAAACTGTTAAAAAACAATCCATTCGACTTTGTTTCCAGGTTTGAAGACGTTTCTCTTCCATCCAGGAAGCTTTTTCAATTCAAAATGTCAGAAATAGCGTTGAGTTCCAGGTTTTAAACAGCAGCCCAACAAAGCCTTGTTTTTGCCTAGAAAACATTCAAATAGAAAGGGATGAACAGGTTCACCCCTTTGGAATGGGGGTCGTTTGGCATCTTTGTTAACCTGCAATGTCCCATACCTGTCTATGTCTCTGAAAGGGGGGTTGTTAAAAGCATCCTAAGGACAAAGCCCCCAGACCCGATCTGAGCAGAGTGGTGTCTGCAGTTCAGTGCAGTGAGGAATGCTCTGATCTTTATATTGGAGAAAGCAAACAACCTCTCCACAAACGCATGGCCCAACACAGAAGAGCGCCCTCCTCTGGACAGGATTCTGCGCTACATCTACACCTTATGGACTAAGGACATTCTTTGGAGGACCAGAATGTTCACATTTTGGACAAAGAAGACAGGTGGTTTGAGAGAGACGTGAAGGAAGCCATCTATGTTAAGAAAGAAAAACCGACCTTAAACAGAGGGGGGGGACTCAGATTTCGACTTTAAAAAACCTACAATGCAGCGATAGAGTTGATTCTTTTCCGCTATCATCGCAACTCCAACCCCTTTACAGGAGAACAGAAGACCTCGTCTATTTAGCCAGGCCAACAATTCCCTTTAACGACCCCCCTTTCAGAGACATAGACAGGTATGGGGCATTGCAGGCTAATGTTGTGCCATATGCTATGCTCATGGTTTTTGGACATTGGGAACCAGTGGCCAAATTTCATCTCGACATGATGACCAGAGAAGAGCACACAGCTTTCGAGAATAACAGCTGAGGCACCTCTGCCGCACCCCTTTTTCAGCCAAAGGCTGTCACAGGAACTTATACAGAGGTGTGACCAACCACCCCCCTCTCTGTGAGGACAAGAAAAGCCCAGACACACAGAATTCTTTCTCTTTGCCTCCTCTCCCTTGCCCGTGAAGCTGGGGTCCACTTCGATCAAATCTCCTGCAAGCATGGAGACCCAGATCTCCAGAATCATCAAGGAAAGTAACTTTTCAGGACCAAACTGGTGCAAAACAGGCTTTTTGCAACACATTTCTAATGACTTTCAGAAGTTATAAAGCCAGACTGGACGAGAAAGCCTGCCTTGCCTTGAGCCACTGAGACAGACAGAGAGTCTGCCTTGCTGTTAGCCTGCCTGCTAAGCTCCAGCTGGATGGAAACTCAAGCCTTCCAAATAGAACTGGACAAAAAGGTTTGCAGGTCTGGCATGATTAGGGACAGAACAAACAGTATGTCTTTTGATGATGAGTAGGAACAAGGCTTACAGGATGGACTGCATGCTATGCTATGCTATGCTATACACAAACATGTTTTGAGCTTTTGTTGTTGAAGCTTGGACAAGCTTTATTTCACTAAGGGTTTAAACACTGATATAACATACGACTGAATGATACGACTGGCATAAAATCAAAAAAACAGCGTAAAAATAAAACAACAAGCCGGTCCCATCTAGGCGTAATCGGAGACAATGACACACGAATTGTGCTCCTGATGTCCAGTCTGCTCCGTAGCTTATTTTTGGTTGCTGTGACCGCAGAAAATCCCGCTTCACAAAGATGTTGTGGATGTTATAGATAGGATGAGTCTTGACCTGAATTAACCTGTGTCAAGAGGCAAAGATGCACCGACTTATGTAATTGGGAGAGAATACCGCAATTTTTAAAATTTTTCAAAATAAAACATCACTCAGACTCTGATCGTATATATATATATATATATATATATATATATATATATATATATATATATATATAT